TGTAAGGCCTCTCAGGGTCTTTTACGCCATGTACGCCTAGGGTATACATTGGGTTATGACGAACTTGGTATTTAGAGCACAAGGTTTAGAAAGGTCCTAGGAAGTCTCATAAGCCACGTCGAGTAGAGTCTTGTTCATGAGTGTGAAGTGTGCTACATTTATGAATGATAAGCTATAACATGTTTAGGAAACTCCACTTCTTTCATTACTCTAAGCCATAAGATAAAGTGTAACTTTATATGTCCTTTATCCTAATCCTTATCTGATGTTTTTCAGTATATGGCCCCTCGAAGAGCATACATTAGGAGGAATGTGAACGAGAATGTGGAACAAGAAGCTCTTCCTCAAGCTCCTCAAGTTCCGGTCAATCTTTTGGCTGAGCAAGTGACTAATTCAGAGTTTAGGGCTGCTTATCAAGTGTTGTCTCAAGCCATGACAACTCAAGCCAATAGGGAGGTTGTGGTCCCCGTGAACCCAAATGTGGGTATGACATCAACTAGGGTGAGAGACTTCACTAGAATGAATCCCCTGGAGTTTCATAGTTCCAAGGTTAAGGAAGATCTTCAAGAGTTTATTGATAAAATGTATAAGGTGTTGATGATCATGGGAATGACGCCAGTGGAAAAGGCGGAATTGGACACTTACAAACTTAATGTTGTTGCTCAAGTTTGGTTCAACCAATGAAAGGAAGGAAGGGTGGATGATGTGGGTCCTCTCTATTGGAAAAAGTTTAAGGTTGCTTTCCATGATAGGTTCTTTCCCCTTGAGATGAGGCATGCAAAAGTACTTGAATTCATCAACCTTCGTCAAGGAAACATGAGTGTGACGTAATATGCTTTGAAGTTCACACAATTGTCTCGGTATGCTCCTACTATGGTTGTCAATCCTAGGGCAATGATGAGTAAGTTTGTTTCTGGTGTGTCTTAAATGGTAATTAAGGAATGTCATACCACCATGCTTATCAATTAAATAGACATTTCTCATCTTATAGTTCATGCTCACAAGTGATGGTGACTTTTCACATTCCAATGATCCTCCTAAGTTCAACAAAGATAGGGTGTCTAACCCTTGGCCTCAAGGAGGAAATGGTAGTGAATCTTCATTGCCTACTTGTGCTAAGTGTGGAAAGTAGCATGAGGGTATATCTCTAGCCGGTTCTAATGCATGGTTTTGTTGTGGTTAGACAGATCACAAGATAAGGTATTTTCTCTTAGTTGCTAAGAATGAAGGAGATAATTGTCAACGGGCTCAACCTAATCCCTCGTCCGGTTCTAGTGGGAGTCAGAAGCAAAATAGATTATATGCACTTCAGACTCATCGCGAGTAAGAGGGTTCTCCCGATGTGGTTACCGGTATGTTAAAAGTCTTCCATATTGATGTTTATTCTTTGCTTGATCCCGGTGCTACCTTCTCTTTTGTGATGCCATAGGTGGCTATGAGGTTTGATATTTTTCTGAATGTGTTGTTAGACCTGTTTTATGTCTCCACTCCTATCGGTGAATCTATTGTGGCTAAGAAAATCTATAGAAATTGTCTCATTTCCTTACCCCATAGAATCACGCATGTTGATCTTGTATAGCTGGATATGGTATATTTGATGTCATTCTTTTTATGTATTGGTTTCATTATTGTTATTCCTCTATTGATTGTAGAACCCGAGTGTTTAAGTTTCAGTTTCCAAATGAGCCTATCCGAGAGTGGCAGGGGGGAATTCTATGCTAGATTGTTGGTTTGTTTCTCGTCTTAAAGCTAGAAATATGATTTCTAAGGGTTGCATATACCAACTAGTTAGGGTGAGGGATACGAATTCTGAAACCCCTACTCTTGAGTCGGTCCCCATTGTAAATGAGTTTAAAGTGTTTCTAGATGATCTACTTGGTATTCCTCCCGAAAGAGAAATAGACTTCGGTATTGACCTTCTCCCACATACACAACCTATCACTATTCCTCCTTACCGAATGGCTCCAGCCGGACTTAAGGAATTAAAGGAGCAATTGAAAGATTTGTTGGATAAGGGTTTCATCCAACTGAGTATCTCTCTGTGTGGTGCTCCAGTTTTGTTTGTTAGAAAGAAAGATGGTTCACTTTGTATGTGTATTGACTACCGAAAACTGAACAAGGTTACCATTAAGAACAAATATCCTCTCCCAAGGATAGATGATTTGTTTGACCAACTACAGGGATCAAGTTACTTCTCAAAGATTGATCTCTGGTCGGGTTATCACCAATTGAGGGTGAAGGAGGATTATATTCCGAAAATGGCTTTTCGAACTCGATATGGTCATTATAAGTTTTAGTGACGTCATTTGGTTTGAATAATTCTCCGGCTGGATTTATGGATTTGATGGATAGGGTGTTTAGACAATATCTTGATATGTTTGTGATTGTGTTCATTGATGATATATTGATCTATTCGAGTAGCGAAGACGAGCATACTGATCATTTGTGAATTGTGTTACATGTCCTCAAGGACCAAAAACTTTTTGCAAAGTTTAGTAAATGTGAGTTTTGGTTAAGGTCTGTGGCTTTTCTTGGTCACATTGTTTCCGGAAAGGGTATCGAGGTAGATCCAAAGAAGACGGATGTGGTTAAGAGTTGGCCTAGACCTCTATCCCCAGTTTGTGGAAGGGTTTTCTTCGATTGCCTCTCCATGAATTTACCCAAAAGAAAGCATAATTCTTATGGTCAGAAGTTTGTGAAAGGAATTTCAGGAATTGAAAGATAGACTTATTTTCGCTCCGGTGTTGACTTTACCGGAAGGAACCAATAGGTTTGTTGTTTATTATGATTCTTTAAGAATTGGGTTAGGATGTGTCCTTATGCAAAATGGGAAAGCCATTACCTATGCATCACGACAACTTAAGGTGCACGAAAATAACTATCCTACCCATGATTTAGAACTTGCGGCGGTTGTGTTTGCTTTGAAAATTTGGAGGCATTACTTATATCGTGTTCATGTCATCGTCTTTACCGACCACAAAAGTTTGAAATATGTGTTTAATCAGAAGGATCTAAATCTTAGCCAAATAAGGTCGCTTGAGTAACTAAAGGACTATGATATGAGTGTTCTCTATCACCCTGGTAAAGCAAATATGGTGGCGGATGCTCTTAGTCGATTATCAACTAGGGTCGGTGATTAGAGGTTGAGAGATCATGATCATAATATTAACCTTGTAAATCAGTAATTTGATAACCATCTCAAATCCACGAAAGGTAGGTGAAACATGAATTCTTAGTGAAGTTACAACCATGGAATTGTCCCAATTATTGTGAACACATCGAAATTAAAGTAGACCATTGTTAGTTACTTTTGATTCTTAAATACTTGCAATAGTAGTTATATAAATACCAAAGTCAAATACTCAAGATAAATTTTCTTTAGTTTGTGGGTTTTGTTGAATTAGATATAAATTAATTGTAATTCCTTTGGGTTTGATAATCCAACTCTTATAGAGCCACTATATTATTTGTGCAACCACATATATTTGTGTGTGTATTTGGGAGCAAGACCTACCCCTTTGATCAGTTTAAAGTCCTGACTGGGAGGTTCTATTATTAGTCTGAGCACACCTTTCCCTTTGTTCAATTTAAAGTCCTTACTAGGTGATTATATTGGGTCCTTGGGTGCCTTTACCACAGTTAAAGTTTGTGGTGTTAGTGCAAGAATTGTTTTAATGATGACCAACTATTGACCTTTGCAGGATATCAATAAGGAAAGAATCAAATACTTGCAGAATATCAAAAAGATAGAATCAAGCGTAGGAATCAAACATAGGCAAAATCAGCGAAATCAAATATCCTACAGATGTGGCAATTTGGACTATATTTTAGAAAACCTAATCGACTACAAGATCAATCAATGGATCAGTAACGGCTATAAACACAACTGGCCTTAATCTAATTTTAATAAAGAAATATCCAATCATCAAGGAGTAAAATCAGAGATCCATGTCACTCAAAGGAAAGTTGAAGATTGTGAACAGGAAACTGAAGATCCATGGAAAGCTGAAGATTGCAAAAAGGAAGCTGAAGATTGGCATTTTCCTTATTCTTGGAAAGAAGGATTCTTAGTTATCTCTTTCCAAGGATCAATTCACTTGGGTTATCATCTCTTTACAAAGGAATATTCAAGCCTTGACTGCTATCTATAAAAGGTCGAAGAAAGCCAATGACTTAAATATACATTGAGTATGAAACTTCACAAATTCTCTACTCTACTTTTAACAAGCATTGTACTACTTAGTTCTACTGTGTAATCAAAAAAGAGAGGAGAGAAAAACATTTTTGGTTAGGCTATCTATCAAAAAAGAAAAAGAAAAAGATTGGCTGTAGACATAGGAACTATACTCTAAACTTGTACTATTTTTGAAAGATTCAAAAGGCAAGAAGAGAACACTCTTACAACCCAAGGAGATTGGACGTAAGATCCACATTGGATCCCAACCAGTATAAGAACATCTTGTGTCACTCTTATTTTCTACAATTCTATTTTTAGTATTCAATTTTGGACCTAACAGTCAACTTGTGATTCTCGCAAGTTGACTACTTAGAGAATAAAAACTAAAAATAGAGCAATACACCCCACTCTTGCACCTTCAATTGGTATTAGAGCCTCGTCTCACTAATCTTTGTTTGACAATAGGTGAGATAAAGATCATGGCACAACAAATCATGGGCGCACTATTTCAAGAAGGGACATCTCAGACAAGACCTCCTTATTTTAATGGAAAGCATTTCTCCCACTGGAAAGTAAGAATGGAAAAATTCATTCAATCATATGATGTGAAAGTCTTGAGGGTAATCAAGCTAGGAGACATTTCTATTCCAACTTCAAAAAACTCAGATGACGGTCAATCATCAACCACTCCAAGCCTGGAGAACTATACGAATGAACAAATGGAGGTTATTCAAATAAACTCCAAAGCAAAAAAAATGTACTATACCAAGCTATTAGTGGTGAATGATATGAAAAGATATAATGTTGTGAAACTTCTAAGGAAATGTGGGACAAATTGGAAGTTACCTATGAAGGTACTGAAAAAGTCAAAGAAACTATCATTTCTCTGTTAGTATACAAATATGAACTATTCCAAATGAAGGAAGGAGAAACTATTGAAAGCATGTTCGCACAACTTAGTAAGATCATTGGTGAACTAAAAGCTTCAGGAAAGACTTATCCTCAAATTGAGCATATACGGAGGGTTCTCAGAAGCTTACCATCTCAATGGAATGCCAAGGTAGTTGCACTTGAATGCATGAATCTCAATACTATAACCTATGAAGAGGTAAGAGGAGATTTAATTGCTTTCGATAAAACACATCTTAACAAATGAGGTCAAGAAGACACCAAGAAGAAAACTGTGGCTTTCAAAGCCAAACCAAGAGGACAAAGGAGAAGAAAAAAGAGGGGAAGATGAGATTGCATTAATCACTGGATCAGTTATGGAATTATTTGGAAAATCCAGAAACAACAGAAGAGGAAGAAACTCTGGATGAGGTAAATATATTACTGATCATCCCGGAAATGATGGAAAATGTTATGAATGAGGAAAATATGGACATATAGCTAGTGAATGTCCAAAAGCGAAGAAATATTATTCCAGTGGAAATCAAAAGAACAGGGCACTAAGCAGCTGGAGTAATGAAGACAACCCTAAACATGAAAATGAAGAAATTGGAAATATTTGCTTCATGGCAATTGGAGAATCAAGCACTAAGGTATGTAACAATTGCAATGAATTAAAAAAAATGTTAGATCATGCTATCTCCAATATGAATCTAGACTTTACTGATTTTTGAAACCTTAGAACTAAAAAAAGAGATTAGGAAATAAAACTAGAAGTCAGTGAAGTTGAAAAGGATCTTTTGTATGAAGAGATTCATGAAATCAAAACCTTGCTTGACAGTTTTCAAAACAATCTGATTCTTCCAATAACTCGATTGAAAATCCTAAGAAGGTTTCTAGCAGTAAAAACTCATCAAAAGAAAGTTACTTCAGTTGCAATCAGGCTCGCTTATCCTAGAAGTCGACTGATTACAAAACTAACAATAACAATTCCACTATTGGAGAAGACATTCCTAAAAGTTGCAATTACTATGGAAAGTCTGGGCATCTATCTTTAAATTGCAAATTTTTTAATCATGATACTTCTAAGTGAGTCTGGAGACCCAAAAGAAATCACGATAATTCTAACCTCAAAGGACCCAAAAATATTTGGTTGCCTAAGAGAAGATAATTACTTTGTCTTACAGGAACTCAGCAAAAAAGCAAAAGGAAAATGGTATTTGGATAGTGGATGTTCAAATCACATTACAGGAGATAAGAATCTATTTAAATCTGTTACTGAATATAAAAGAGGAAACATTCAATTTGGTGACAACTCAAAAGGAACTGTAATTGGTATTGGAACAATCTGTTTCAATGAATCATGTGATCTCACAAATGTATATCTAGTGACCGGTATAAAGTACAATCTTCTGAGCATCAGTCAACTATGTGACTCAAATTTAGAAGTACGATTCGAAAAGAATCAATGTTTAATAGAAGACATCTCTGGAAACAAACTATTAAAAGGAAGTAGAGAGAAAAATGTGTATATCCCTGACTTAGTTAAAAGTACAAGAGAACATATATGCCTTGCTTCAATGATTGATGATCCCTTAATTTGGCAAAAGAAACTGGGTCATGCAAGTATGCGACTAATAGAAAAACTTGCAAAGAATGAATTAGTCATTGGACTACCTAAGCTGGACTACACAAAAGATCACATTTGTGGTGCATGTTGAAAGGGAAAACAAACTAGAAACTCATTTTCTGGCAAGGATATTCTTTCCACTAACAAATATCTGTAGCTACTACATATGGATTTATTTGGGCCTACTAGAACAACAAGCATTGGAGGAAAAAGGTACGCATTTGTAATTGTTGATGATTATTCTTGTTTCACCTGGGTAATGTTAGGATACTCTCAAAAACTTTGAGTTCTTTTGTGAAAAATTTCAACGAGACAAAGGATACAACATTACCTCAATAAGAAGTGATCACGGAGGAGAATTTGAGAACAAGTTGTTTGAAGACTTCTGTAATGAAAATGGGTACTCTAACAATTTCTCATCTCCTCGATCACCTCAGAAAATAGAGTTGTAGAACGGAAGAACAGAACCTTACAAGACATGGCAAGAACTATGATTGTTGAACACACACTCTCTCCCACACAAGTACAACATGTCATGTGTTGAATCGTTATTTAATCAAACCAATCTTGAAGAAAACTCCATGCGAATTATGGAATGGTAAGAGACCCCACATTAGCTACTTTCATCAATTTGGATGCAAGTGTTTTGTTCATAACAGTTGGAAATACAACATTGGTAAGTTTGATGCACGAAGCGATGAAGGTATATTTCTTGGTTATTCTAAACCTAGCATATCTTACAGAAATTTTAATAACCGAACTTTAAGCATTGAAGAATCTATTCATGTTGAGTTTGATGATTCTAGTAAATCTATTGAGATTAGATCTAGTACAGATGAGGAAGATAATCAAATTATGATATCAACCCAAAAGGAACTAAATAGCTTAGAAGAGTTGACTGCTGAAGAAACTCCTATCAAACCAATAAATGAAACAGTTCCAAATGAATGGAAAAGTGAGCCAAATTATACAAAGAAGTTTATCATTGGAGATCTCAATGAAGGAATGAAGACTAGAGCATCGAGAAGAAATGAAGCAAAGGTTGCTCTCATCTCTCAGCTAGAACCTAAGAAGATAAATCAGGCTTTTACTAATAAACACTGGGTAAAAGTTATTAAAGAAGAACTGGATCAATTTGACAAAAATCAGGTATGGACTCTAGTACCTAAGCTTGAAAATAAGTCTATTATTGGAACCAAATGGGTATACAGGAACAAACTCAATGAGTCTGGTAAAGTGATAAGAAGCAAAGCTCTATTAGACGCTCAAGGCTATTCCCAAGCCTTAGCTATGATGAGACTTTTGCCCCTGTAGCAAGGTTATAATCTATTCGATTACTTCTTGCATATAATGCTCATAAAGGTTTTAAATTATTTCAAATGGATGTTAAAAGTACTTTTTAAAATGGTTTTATTGATGTAGAAGTGTTTGTAAAACAACCTCCTGAGTTTAAAAATTCAAAAATTTCTTATCATGTTTTCAAACTATCTAAAGCTCTTTATGGTCTCAAACAGGCACCTCGTGTATGGTATGATAGTTTAAGCACTTTTTTAATAAATCATGGATTTACAAGAGGAAAAATTGATACAACTTTTTTCATCAAAAGATCTTCCCCTGAGATTCTTATTATTCAAATTTATGTTGATGATATCATATTTGGAAGTGTTAATATCTGTCTATGCAAAGAATTTCCTGACCTAATGCAAAGTGAATTCGAGATGAGTATAATGGGAGAATTAACATTCTTCCTTGGACTGCAAATCTTTCAAACATAAAAACGTAAGTTCTTATGTCAATCCAAGTATTGTAAGGAATTGATTCAAAAAATTGTTATGGAAAGTGCAAAAACTGTAGGTATTCCCATGATTTCCACTTGCTCTCTTGATAAGGATGATGAAGGTAAAGTTTTGGATGAAAAAAAATATTGAGGTATGATTAGATCCTTATTATATCTAACTGTCAGTTGACCGGACATACTATTTAGCGTATGTAAATGCGCAAGATTCTAGTCAGCTCCCAAAGAATTGCATCTTACTACTGTAACAGGAATTATTCAATACCTAGCAGGAACTATCACTTTTGGTTTATGGTATCCTAAAGAAAAGAATCTTTTTCTCGAAGGATTTTCTGATGTTGATTATGCAGGTGACAAAGACGACAGAAAAAGCACCAGTGGTACATGCCAAATTCTTGGAAAATCTCTACTTTCCTGGAATAGAGTTTTGTATATCTTTCAACCATAGAGTCAGAATATACAGCGATAAGTTAATGTTGTGCACAAATTCTATGGATGTTACATCTATTAAGTGATTATGATCTATCTTTTAAGTCTGTTAAAATGAAGTGTGATAATTCTAGTGCTATTTGTCTTTCAAAAATATATATGCATCATTCTCGCGCTAAGCATATTGACATTAAGCATCATTTTATTCATGATTCTGTGTTAAATGGAGACATTGAAATTTCATTTATCAGATCTTATTTTCAATTAGCTGATACTTTTACTAAACCTCTTTTAGAAGAAAGATTTTGCACTTTTTGTAAATCTCTGAATATTATTTAAAATCCCTTTATTTGCTAATTATTGTTGTCTGTATTGATGATTTTCCTTTTTAGAAAAATTTTCTGACTCCTCGTTTATTGTGTTTCCTTACTTTAATTAATTTCCTTCTGTTTTGGCTCATTTTTTACGCCTCCCTCTACATTCTCTTAACACAGTCCCTTCAATGGTCTTGTCTAAAACCCTTCATCTTCTTCCTCCTCTTTGCCTTTATCTATCCATCATTTCCCTCATTATTATTTCACTTCACTTCTACTTTCTTTCTCTCTAATGGTGAAAACTCCAATCGTTTCCACTCCTGTCACTCATAAAAGTTCTCGCAATAAGAACAAGGACAAAGCTCTGTCATTTGTCTCTATTGAATCTGATGATATGTTGCCTCTAGCATTTTTTTCTTCCTCTCTTGGTAAGTTTCCTATAGATTCTACTGAGTAGGGTTCTTCAGAGAAGAAGTTCAAGTTCGATTTCAATAGTACGTTGACGAAAAGGTAGATTTTTGGAACTCTTCCCATGAAACTCTTTTTCATTCATTCAAACACAAAACGCTTGTGCATGGTAGGGTAGTCGACCTTGATCTTCTCTCCTCATTAGACTGTCCCATCAAACCCTTTTATGAGTTTCAAGGTTGGGCTAATATCTTCTTTATTCCTATGGAAGTTTATGAACCTCGTATTCGTCTCTTTTATGCAAATCTTCGATCTCCTAAGGCAAGAGAAATTGAATATTTGGTTCTTAGTAAGCGTATTTTTCTTGCAAAAAAATTGACTCAGTCTTTGGTATTTCTTGCTCTGGTGTTATGGCTCCACCTAAAAATTGATGGCCCTCTGAGTATATTGCTTTCTTTTATTAGGCTAAGCACGAACTTGTTGTTGATCCCTCTGATCCCCTTCCTTCTCATCTTGGTCGTAAAAATCTCTCTTTTGAGACCGGGGTTATTGCTCATATTATTGCCACCACCCTTCTTCCAAGGGCTCGGTCCCACTCTACTCTCTCTTTGTGTGACACTCTACTCACGTATTGCATAGTTTCGCGGGTAATAATTCATCTACCCTCTTTCATTCTCTCAGCCATGGATGATGTTATCTCTGAGCCCTCTACCCTTCCTTTTGGTATGCTCATTACCCGTATTCTAGAATCACATTTCCTCTATCTGGGGATTTCTCTCCTATTATTCTCAAACAATGCTACAATTCTCGAGCCTTTTTTAGCATGGGATACACTCGTACTATTTCCTCATCGGCTCTGAAGAATGACTTGGATGATGTTGTTGTGAAGTCTATCAAATCAAAACCCTCCTCTTCAACTGCGATTTCCTCTCCCAAACTTAATGCTGCTCTTGAGAAGCTCTCTGACATGGATGCTAATTTGGATGCTCTAACCATTTATGTTACTCGGGAAAGTGACCTTGTGTCCTCTGTGACTGCCATGAAAGAACAAGTAGACTCCCTCAAGGATCTACTTCTTTCTGCTCATGTCAAGATAAATGTTGTTAAGGATGTCACAAAGGAGACTGCTGCAGATGTGGCTCGCATTCGTCTAAGGTTTGACCAGATTGTCAAAGAGGCTATTAAGATTGCTACTAAGGTCCAGGCAAGCGCTAAATCTATTTCTACTTCTCTTACCTCCAGGTTCAAGGATGTAATGACCCGGGAGTACCCCTTAGAAGTTACACAGTGAACTCGACCCCGAAGGGGTCTAGTACAAGCCCTTAGTATACATCATTGCATACGTCATAGAATAAAAGCGGAAAATTTAAAACTTTTTCTTCAACAATCGAAGTCACTTTTTACAAAAAAGAAAGGAGTCTAAACATTGTCTCATTGGCCATCTGTACAATCGAATACTTAGACGTCTAGGGATACAACCCTTACATAGTTATAAAATGAAACTAATAAAAGAAACTACTAAGATATATACCAAGTAAGATATTGGTCCCCAAACTTGAGGACTCATCAACTAGCTTGGAGGATCACTTATTCCAAGCCCTTTGAACCAAAACTACCATCTCCATGAACCAACCCCCTACATTGTAGAAAACATAGAAATATGGGTTAGCACAAAAATGTACTAAGTATGGTAGCCATGCACAAAACCATTAAAACATGCATGAAAAGGAACATTTCATTTAAAATCATGCTTTAGGACATTTTTGAACATCATCTTTGAAATAGTTGGAGAATGCAACCAATAAGGCAACTCACATACATTTCATTATAACCTGAGAGATATCATTATAACAACAAGCACAGTCTCCAATATCAATATAATACACGTCACAATCTTCATAATACATAGCCTTCGATTATACAAGAATACACGGTTAAATACCAAGACCATCACATCATGAAGTAATCATCACATAAGCAACCTCTAAAACACATTTGTGCAATGTATGTGTCACGACCCAAGCCTAGGGCCTAGACGTG